TCGGAGTGTCTGCAGGATGATCACTCGCGAAAGTAGAGAATAGGGACATGGTATTCATGAGAATTAAATACCTTGATTCATCCTTAAGCACATTGATATCGAAACATTCGGTGAAAAGCACGTAATCTATAAGTTTAATACAACACACTTCAAACAACAACAAATGAAAAAGTCACACTTACAATTTCTGAATCTGGGTTCTGCGACAGGAGCGGAAGCAAAGAACATTACATTAAAGCTTAGCAAAGTTATTGTTTGTCTATGCTTTGGAAAGGGACACGGGTTTCACAGTGATGAGTAACAGAGGTGGAGTGTTGTGAGGGTATGTGCTGGTTTGGAAAAAGCTCTACTGCGGGTGATAAGGAGAGTTTCATTATCATTCAGGAACCTTTGTTTCTTTTCTCTATTTTATCTTTTTACTCTTTTATTGACCGACTGGCATATCTGAGGTCATGATCAGATAGGATAGCATGCTCCCTTGGTGGAATCTTTTCCCAATTGAACTTTTCGTCTGGCATTTCTAAGGCTTATGAGCAACAGAAACAATATTGACGATGAAAAAATAATTTCACTGAGCATTTCCTTCGGTTATTCAGCGTAACTTTCCTTAATTGGCCAAAACATCATCCGGTATCTCGAGTTTCACCTCTACGTGTGACTGAGAAGCTTGTATACTTTCCCTACCCATCGTAGCTGTCGTTGTGCACTGAACGGTCATATACTGTGGAGGATTTTCGTCTATTGCTGTTCAGGTCGATGGCATGGCTCTCCTTGCGGTCGTAGAGGTCCTCTTTGCTCGCGTAATAACTATCTCTTCGCGAGGACCTGTTCTCGAAAGAGAAGTCGTTCTGCAGGGAATCCTCGCGTCGAGACTGGTACTTCGAGAAGGAACTCGTCTCGTTCACCTGCAGGCTCTCCCGCCGCGAGGACGAGCTCTGACTCACGGACACTCGCGAGTCCCTCCTCACCCTCGAACTCTCCGAACTTGACACCGAACTCCTCCTCGAACTGTGAGAGAAGACATCGGCACCGCCAGCGCCCGCCGCCGTCCTCTGCGACCACTGCACCGAACTCCGAGCTCTCGAAGCCATTGTTTCGTTCGCGTTGTTTCGTGTCGCGTTCGAAGCCTTCCAGCCGCCTCGCCGCCCAAGGGAAAGCGGAATGTTGGCGGGCGTGAGGTCGAGGCCTGACTGCGGGAGGCGGGCCGACCGAATGCCCGTCGGCGCTGTTTAGATAATGGTTATGAGCTAATGATGAGTAACGGCGAGGAGGCGGTCACTCGCACGCCCGGCGCCCCTGCCCTTGCCAAGAGCAGCCTCTGGGCGTGATAAACCAGACTATAAATACACGGCAATCATAACCTCGTCTTGTGCCTCGGGGGAAAAAATGAAGTTTCTGGAGAAGGAATTAGACGGAGGACGTTATTCTGAGGTCTCGCGCGTCAGCCTCGCCCCAGCTGGGAGGCCGAAAAAGCGCCCATGTCAAGCGCAGATCTTGCAAGCGGGGGCAAAGAAGGGGCGCGCAGGCATGACGAAATGGGCGCCCCACGGATGCCATTACCCGGGTGATTAGAACGGCATTGAACTTCTTCAGGTGCATCGGCGTCGTTAGTGATGCAACGCGCGGGGCTAATTTGGGCGTCATGCAAGGTCGAGTCCCGCCGGAATCTGAGTCATGAAACCCGCTTGCACCTGTTCCGTTTTAGCGCCGGGGATTCGCGGCGCAAAAAGCTGACAGGCGGACGGAGCTCGTCATTCTCCCAACCCTCTGGCCGCAACCCCGCCCCCCCCTCCCCCCCCCCGCCGCCTTCTCTTCCTCCTCCTCCTCCTCCTTTTTCTTCTTCTTCTCCTTTTCATCTTCCTTCTTCTTCTCCTTCTCATCTTCCTTCTTCTTCTCCTCTTCCTTCTTCTTCTTCTCCTCTTCCTTCTTCTAATCCTCCTCCTTCTTCTAATCCTCCTTCTCCTTCTAATCCTCCTCTTTCTTCTTCTAATCCTCCTCTTACTCTTCCTTCTTCTCCTCCTCCTCCGTGCCCTCGCCGCCCGGAGAACGAGAGCTAAATTAACAACTTCGGAGTAACATTCTTTTGGCATGACGTTCCTGTCTTCGTCTTTGGGATTGTCACCTGTTTATTTTTTCTTATTCTTATTTTTCTTCGCCCTCTTTCATCACCTCCTCTTTCTTTTTTTTCTTCATCTTCTTCTTCATCCTATTTTATTTTCTTGCATTACAAGAGAAAACCGTTTCCGAAACTTTTTTCTTCTCTCTTAGTTAATCGTTCATCTAATTCGATAATCTGACCCTCTAGCGATCAGAATCAAAATGCACAAACTAAAAATTACATTAATCTTTATCTCAACCAATAATATTAGAAAAAATCTCTGTCTGAGCTCTTTTTTACAACCATATATTTTTCTTCGCCTTAAATATTTAATCCTTACTTGGCTCTAGAAAAATTCCTCTTCCTTTTTCTCGCGGTTTGACCTTCATCATTGTTTTGATAAGGAAATCCACAGTTAAGACAAGGAAACTTATCCTTCTTATCGTCACGCGAGTATCCTTTATCCTCCTCGACACAGCTGCACGGACGGAGGATCACAGAGCACTGAATCCCGCGGTATTCACACACCTGTGACATTAACCGTACTCCGGTGGGCGTGACTGGGAGTGGCTGGGGGTGGGGCTTGTGATTCATACGAATTAATGAATGGAGGTGTTTGTGTGGGAGTGTGTGTTTGTTTGTGTGTGTGTGGGGGGGGGAGTGTGTGTGTGTGTGTGTGTGTGTGTGTGTGTGTGTGTGTGTGTGTGTGTGTGTGTGTGTGTGTGTGTGTGTGTGTGTGTGTGTGTGTGTGTTGTGTTTGTGTGTGTGTGTGTGTGTGTGTGTGTGTGTGTGTGTGTGTGTGTGTGTGTGTGTGTGTGTGTGTGTGTGTGTGTGTGAGAATAAAAGAATTCAAGATGTGGTTGGTATGTGCAGAGAGATAGATAGATAGAAATAGATAGATAGATAAACGGATGGATGGATAGCTAGGTAGAGATAGAAAGAAAGAGAGAGAGAGAGAGAGTATATGTATGCGTGTATGCGTGTGCGTGCATGTGTAATATGAATGTAGCCACTCCCGAGCCTTCAGAAAATCCGCAATTATCGATACCTCCTTTTCTTGACCTTCTTTCTTTACTTTTCCTCAAACTTCTCAGCCACAAGTCCTATGCCAAGGATAACTGAATGACAAAAATACTCCCTCAGTAGGTTCAAGGTAGAGAAAATGTTGATCTCAAAATATCTTGTATCATTTCTCTTGTGGAAACAGTCACGTGACACAAAAACAGGGTTTGTCTTCAAGTAAAAGGCATGACATTTGTTTTCATAATACCCCCAAAAATGACCATGAAAATCTGACCAAAAAAGGTAGATAGATATCTTTGAAAAATAAAAAAACTCAAGTAAAAGACTCATCAGTTGCAAAAAATGACAACCTACAGCATAAAGCATGAGTGAATTCACAGTAACTGACATATCTAATGAAAGCCCTTGAACGGGTTATGTAAAGAAGTATCAAACAAAACACGAGAACTTACTTTTTATCGGCGGCCTGTTCGTTTGCTGTAAGAGAAAGGAAGAGAGAGAAGTCAAGCACAACAGCCGATAAAGATAGGGCGAAGGGTGAGTACAAGAAGCAGAGCAAAAGTGGATAGAAAAGAGCCAAAAAAAAAAAGAAAGAAAAGAAAAAGAAAGAAAAAATGAAAATAAAACTGGTAAAAAGCCATTAAAAAAATCCTCGTCTTTTCCACTTTTGCTCTGTTTCTCCGTGGGGGAAAAAGCGCTTTACTAAAGAAAAATAAAATAAACGAATGAAAATAAATAAAAATAAAGAATAATAACCGTTAAGCCTTCTGCTAAAGAGGATCTACCACCTGTTTTCGAGCGCGACCCAGATTTTCTTCAGTCTTACCTTTCAGGCGGATCATCTACGGCTGGAAGAAAACGGTATAAGACGAATTAGTAGCTTCCAAAAAGAGGCTTGTTTTTTGTGTATTTTTTTTTTTTTTTTTTTTTTTTTTTGGTTTGTGTCGTTGTTCTATAACATTTCAAAATGGCTAGGTGTGATTTTTTTTTTTAACTGGAAGTATGGGGTTTGGGGTTTGGGGGTGGGGGGGGGGGGGTTCTGCCATTTTGGAATAGCTGTAGAGACAACGAACGTGTAGAAAGAGACTGTTGGAAGAGGTGTGTGTTTGTTTGTGTCGTTTGTTTGACGGTGTTTGTTTCGAGGACTGACTTGTCTATTCTGGAGCCACCGAACCATCATGAGATTTGACAATTACTTAATCTGATGGTTGTAAACTATAAACGACATTTTATTTACATCTTGTTAGAAACAAGAAAATATGCAAATCGGGGAAAAAACAAAAGCAGTATGAATAGAAAAAAAAATCCCTGAATTTCTACGTAACAAAAAGTTTTTTTTAAGCTGAAAGATGGGTTGGCGGTCCGTAGATTTTTGAAAGGGGTTCGAGTACGGTTCATGTGCGTTTTTTTTTCTTTATTTATAACAAATAAGGAACTGATTCATTTAAGAATGGCATGGGTTGATTGATGGGAATAATTTGAATTCTAAAATCTAAACTGATGAGTTCGATCTATGTAAAAAAATATATATAGATGTATATTTCATTATTAGCAATTGCGTAGATTTAATGCTAGGTAAAAAAATATATAGACATTAAAAAAGATTATTATTATTATGATTATTATGATTATGATTATTATGGTTATAATTACCATCATTATTGACTTAGATCATTAATTAACTAGGAACAGCAATCAAGCTTTGATGATATCTATCACTTATCAGTTACCAACATGAAGAACAATAAAGTTACTGGCAATTATTATGTATTAATCATATCAGCAGAGCTACTACGCATGAATCAATTAATTACTATGGAATATTAAAGGTGAGGTCAGCAGGTCAAAAAAGCGTGAACCAGAATGTGGTGTTAAGAGAGTCCCACGTGTTGTGTCCTGCTCACCACACGGATCACCACACAACTCACCACACTGCGGCTACTACAAAACCCGGCCTATGGACACAGCAGAATGAGAAGCCCTGGGCGAGTCCTGCAGGAGGGCAGTGTGGGGGGAGGGTGTAATATATATATATGTATATATATATATATAATATAATATATATATATATATATATATATAGAGAGAGAGAGAGAGAGAGAGAGAGAGAGAGAGAGAGAGAGAGAGAGAGAGAGAGAGAGAGAGAGAGAGAGAGAGGTGGCGATAGATAGAGAGAGATAAACAGACAGACAGAAAGAGAGAGATGTATTGAGAAAGAGAGAGACAGAGAGAGAGAGAGAGAGAGAAGAGAGAGAGAGAGAGAGAGAGAGAGAGAGAGAGAGAGAGAGAGAGAGAGAGAGAGAGCGAGCGGCGCGTGAGTGGTGTGGCGCGCAGAGACACCTCGCGACGGGGAGTCAGATGACTGAACTGAAGCTTGAGAGAATCGCGCGTGACGAGGTCTGAAGGCGTGACGTCACCAGCACTCCATATCACGTGATTGGTGACGTCACAGTGTCCCCCAGGTGCTGTCGGGAGGCAAAGGGCTGCACGCACTCTCCCACAGGATCCAGCGCGCCCGGCAGGAGGTGCAGCTGGTGCCGGAGGCTTAGGTCCTGAAGCGTATTTCCTGGCACGTCTGACCACCTCCAGCCGGGCACAGGTCCAAGGGCGTCTCCAAGGCTCGGTTCCTTAGACCACCGAGCCATTGAATTCAAGTAAAGATCGGGATTCGTTGATTCTGGTGATCCCGGGTTCGTATCCTGTGGGAGGCGTTGCGACCCTTGGCATCGATCGGCGCAGTGTGTCAGGTTTTAATAGCTGTTATCTGTTCTGTTATGTGATTTTTTCTCTCTTTTTTACACTGGAAAATCATCATTCTTTTGACATCTTTTTCATTAATTTACTTTCTTTTAAAGATTAAGTTGAACACTGATTAATTGACAGCCATGGCGTATATGGGGCTGTTATTCAACATAAATGAAAAGAAAAGAAAGGAAAACTGAATTGGAAAGTAAAACGGGAAAACAAAAGAAAATAATGATAAATGATAATGATTATTAACAAGAAAGAAAATAAAAAATACTCTGATTTTCCAGAGGACCGTCCTAGAGGTGTGAAGTTGAAGTTTTGTCTGTCCTGAAGTCTGTCGTGTTTCAGAAGAGTCCTGAGCGGCGGTCGACCCCTTCCTCAGGGGGGACTTCGGGGGCTTCTGAGGGCGACCCCAGGGAGACATAGGGCGGGAGGGAAGCCGAGGAAGGGCGTAGTTGTAAGGAAGGGAGTGAGTGATGGGAGGAGCAGGGTGGGATTCGAAGGAACAGAGTTGGGAAAGGGACTGTTGGCGAAGGGAAGTGGGCTGTGGGGGGTGGCTGGTGGGTGGGGGGAAGGTAGGAGAGGGCGTCCCACCCCCGTCGCGAGTCCCGCCCCAGAAAGGACTCGACCAGTGCTCGGGGACAGTCTCTATCAGTAGTGAGGTCTGTGAAGCGTCTTTGGAAGCCCGTAGAAGATATTATCATGGCACATCAAAAGATAAGAAAATGGGTTAGGTCATCTCTCGTTTTGTATAACAATATACTTGTCCATAAGAGGCAAAACGTACTAGGTCAGCGCTTAGAAAACGCACAGATAGGAAAAAAAAACATATTCACCATCTATAGAAAGATCTTAAAAATAAAACTTAAATTTAAATAAAAGATGGAGAACCCACAGTCACAGTAATCATGATATCAACACGTCACGTCCTGTTTCATATGGCGTCGATAAAAACAGGTGAGGCTGTGGGTCCTTCGTCACACTAGAGTCAGGTCAAACATTCACGTGGAGGAGAGTCAACAGAACCTGCTATCCCAGGTCATCATACTATTTAGAACATATATAAAGAGGCGCTATGGTTCTACTCTGTGAGGGAAAATGAGTCAAATATCTTATAAAAAAGACTAAGATATTTTGAAAATTGTCAAAGTTAGAAAAAAAGAAAGACTCGGAATAGCACGTCTGTTGTTCGCCAGAAGAACATGTTAGACGTCACTGCCTTGTTATTATCACAAGTTTTCTTTTTTGCTTCTTCGTCGAGAAACAGATGGGTGACTCAAGCCAGGTGAGGGGAGCCGGTGCCAAGTATGACGTCATCAGTGTTATCAGTGTTATTATTCTTCGATTTTTTCCCCACTGCTATCTTTGGTATCTATCAGTAAAACATGCATTACCATCCTGTCTCACTTGCTACGCCATCTACCATCTATTTCTGTTGCCTTTCACTATTAGCACAGTTATTTTTGCTTACTTTACTGTCCCTCGTGTCTCACTATCACAGATTTTTTGCTTCCTGTACCTTATCTTAGTTTCCCCAGCAACTAGTGCTATCTAAACTCTCTGTCATTTTACCATTTGATGTCTGTCTCTGAACCTGGTTTTAAATGCCCTTCACTTTGAAATCGAGTGTA